CCCCCCCCCCGCAGTCTTTTCTTTATTCATTCGCATAGGGCAAACGTTTTTTGTGCATGCTGTTTTCAGGAAATGTATAAGGCAAGTAGGGCTACAGTTTTCAGACGGAGCACAGAAAGGGTTAAAGTGGGCCTTTCGGTAACTTTACAAGTCGGCATCCATAACTTCCTGACGCGTCACAATACACAGCAGCCATATACTTTTTATTATTAAGGAAGCTGTGATTAAACTCCAGGCAAATAAGTGTGCCTAGGCCCGGGGAATGTCATCTGACTGCTGCAGGTGGGAGCTGATCTGTGTCGGACATTTGCAAACACAGCCAAGAACCGCACGGCTTCCAGCAGGAGGAAGGAGGTCCTGATTCCTCTATATAGATCTTTATTATCACTAGAGGGATCCCCAGCAGAAGGAAGGAGGTCCTGATTCCTCTATATAGATCTTTATTATCACTAGAGGGATCCCCAGCAGGAGGAAGGAGGTCCTGATTCCTCTATATAGATCTTTATTATCACTAGAGGGATCCCCAGCAGAAGGAAGGAGGTCCTGATTCCTCTATATAGATCTTTATTATCACTAGAGGGATCCCCAGCAGGAGGAAGGAGGTCCTGATTCTTCTATATAGATCTTTATTATCACTAGAGGGATCTCCAGCAGGAGGAAGGCGGTCCTGATTCCTCTATATAGACCTTTATTAACACTAGAGGGATCTCCTACAGGAGGAAGGAGCCTATAGAAATGTAAGATCATGGCTTCATATTGAAGCTCATCAGGACCTCTGCCTAGCAAAAGGAGAAGTTCAGAACTAATCTTAGAAAGCCCAAAGAGTAGTTGGTCTTTGGAACAGAGTTCCGGCAGAGGTAGGGAGTCAGTAAACTGCAGCCGAAACTAACATTCACCTTCAATGCAGAGATTTCCCCCCTGCAGTACTTCTTTCCTACCACTAGATGTCCTCACTCTGAAGGCCGGCATCATTCAAGACACTTCCTCCCAGGTTTATATGTAAGGGACACTTCCATTGAGATCAATGTACAAAGTCAGAGTTGATCCAGAGGAAGGTAGGAAACTCTATAAAAAGTGTGATGTAATGGGCAAAAATTCTGACCCTTGACTGTGAATGGATGATTCCTGGTCACTTTCTGTTATGGGGTGACAATGCTCCGTCCAGGTCTTTCAGTTGTGCTACTGCGTTGCCACATGGAGACAGTGAGTGGCCGTTTGCAAACACATTACACAGACATGGCCCACTGTTGTCACCATCAGGAAACCCGCCCTGAGAAATGCCATGCAGCCATCTCTAGTAGACAGGAGGTCTGGGTGACAACACTCTGTCCATGTCTCCGGATTGTGCTCCTGTGTCCCTATAATAGGAAGTGACAAAAGAAGGACCTTGATCGTAGGATCACCGGTATTTAATGAAATGTGCAGATGAAATAAAAGGACTTTTGAAATGACATGAACATATAAAAGCTTCTCTGGGGTACAAGAAGACAGGAAGTGGCTTAGCAGTATTTTTGTAAATTAAAAAAAATGGCCGCTTATGATACACAAAGCTAATGGGGATTACTGATGGTGACAACGGTGGCCCATACCTGCATTAATGTGTGCTGAAATGGCCATTTGCAGTCTCTATTGGAAGCAGGGTGACAACACAGGAGCATAATTGGAAGACCGGGACAGAGCATTGTCACCCTATAACAGGAAGTGCCTTCCGGGTAATATAACCAGCTACTATTTTAATGAAAGCTGCAGATTTAAAAGTGACTTTTGAAACGGCATTAAAGGCTTGGTCCACCTTTGCTATACTTCGGGCCCATCATGGAACATG